CAGACTAAACTAAACTGGGAATGTTTCTTAAATTTAAGAAATACTGCATTACTTAACCCTTTCTAATTTATAAAAGTTTATGTGGTTGGTTGAATTTTATAAGTCATAGCATTGCTCTCCTTTATGTTTATGTCAATATGGAAATGGAATTGAATTTTCCCTGCCAAAGTAGTAAAGAGGATGGTAAATATTATGAAATATATTGAATTTATAGCAGCAGTTAGGGACTATAAGTCTTGCTTTCCCTGGCAAGACTTTTATCCTGTCATCTATTTAAATGCAAACTATAATAACAAGATACAAAATACAGTTTACCACTATTCAGTATTCCTCATGAATTTTTTTTTCCTTGACCAATTCAAAGCATGTGATATGAAGGGATTTGGCTTTTAGGGAGCAGTGGAAATCTGAGCTTAGATGTCTAAGGAAGGAAAGTACCATATTAGGAAACATGGATATGGTTAAATGCATGTGGGAATAAAACGAGTCATCTGCAGTATGGCCATTTGATAATGCTGTGATGTATTTGCACTCTAAATTCCATCATTTTTTAGATTAAATTCTTATTTGTATTGTATGACTCCTTCATAGATTTTTCAATGAGGAAATAGTGGAAATATTTTGGTGGTTTACTATCTTAACATTCTACTGAATGTTCAGAGTTTGATTCTCCCACTTTGGGAAGTGGTACATATCCTCACTGATGGGGAGGATTTTAACAAATGCCCATTATGGTACAGCAGCTACTTCCCAGCTGGTGACTTATTTTCAGATACGACATTTTGTTTCTATAGATTGTCGTAAATTAATTCCAGTGGTGTAATGTTTAAAGTGTCATTATGCATATAATTTATGTAACAATTTACAGTTTTGAAGTATAGTTGACCCGTGAACAATGTATTAATAATAACATGAGCAGCCGATTAATGTGTATTTTGTATATGTATTATATACTGTATTCTTAAAGTAGGCTAAAAGAAAATGTTATTAAGAAAATCATAAGGAAGAGAAAATATATTTACTATTCATTAAGTGGAATGGATCATCATACAGGTCTTCATCCTCGTTGTCTTCATGTTGAGTAGGCTGAGGAGGGGTTGGTCTTGCTGGCTTGGGAGTGGCAGAAGCATGTCAGTGGACTTGCATAGTTCAAACCCATGTTGTTCCAAGGTCAGCTGTACTTTCAAATGTGTCGTATAGTTATCATAGCAATCCTATTAGATACTTATTACTGCTCTCCACTTAAAGCTGATAAAATACTCAGTTGCCTCCTCAGGGGCACTTTAATTGTAAGTTTCTCATCATGGTTTGAGGGTGTATAAACTCAGCATAGACTTCGTTACCTCTGTCCTTGATTGTCAGTGATTGATCTCAGGTATTACCCTGGTATTCTACATCTTATTTTAGTCTTCACAAGAATTTGTCTCAAGAGGTAGCATTGTCCTCATTTAAAGATGAGGAAACTAAAGGTCAAACATGGTTAGCATAGTGGGCAGTGGTTAATAATAGCTCACACACTGAGGTCTGGCTACCTGAGTTTTTGTCTAAGCTCTGCCGCTTAAATCTCTATGACCCTGGGAACATTTTCTCAACCTCTCTAAGTCTCAGCTTCCTAATATATTGAAAGAACAATATCAGTCTCATAGAACTATTATGAAGATTAAATAGGATATAATATGTGGAAAGTGCTAGGTGTACAGCGTGTGCCCAGTATCGCATATGATTACTAAGTAAAGTCACTCCGATGGTAGGAAGCAGCTCTTGAGATAGTGTCTCAATGTCACTTTCTTACTCATTGCTTGCTTTCTAATCACCGCGAGAATTATATACCTGAAAATGAGTAGTGTTGATAGAGCTTCTAGTAATTTTAATAAGTTAGAGGTAGTAGGCATGAGAGCAAGAAATAGAAGAAAAACTTCATGGCCGGGCGCGGTGGCTCAAGCCTGTAATCCCAGCACTTTGGGAGGCCGAGACGGGCGAATCACGAGTTCAGGAGATCGAGACCATCCTGGCTAACACGGTGAAACCCCGTCTCTACTAAAATACAAAAAAAAAATTAGCCGGGCGAGGTGGCGGGCGCCTGTACTCCCAGCTACTCGGGAGGCTGAGGCAGGAGAATGGCGTGAACCCGGGAGGCGGAGCTTGCAGTGAGCTGAGATCCGGCCACTGCACTCCAGCCTGGGCAACAGAGCCAGACTCCGTCTCAAAAAAAAAAAAAAAAAAAAAAAAAAACTTCATGCAGGGGTAGAAATTACATAGTTTAGGCTGAGAGGCCATGGCATAAAATTAGTTTCCTAAAAAAGCACAGCAGTGTTTTTTAAATGATTTTAAAAGTCCACCCTTCTCGGACTCATCTTTGCACAATATTTACTTAAATGATTTACCAATGATTAACCTTAAACACAAGAGCAACAGAAATATTTACATATTTGTTTTTGGTAGAAACCTCCAGTAATCATTCCCACAAATGAACTTGTCACTTTTCCTACTTATGTAGTATTATACATATTAAATATCATTCTTCCAGCATTTGGAATTATAAGCATTGTTGTTTAGAAAGAATTTGTTCTTTTTATTTTTTTCTCTACTTCAAATTCCTGTAATACTTTAATTAAACCCTATTCTGGTACTTAGTATTTTTTGACATTGTTTTCTAATTATTTCCACAGCTTATATGCCCTACTTAAAGACATGATCTGACTCTAGTGTCTAATTACATTGGCTAATACCCTCAGTGCAAGCCCAGGAACAAATTATAAATTACTCTGAGATGAATGGTCTCTCTCATTGCTTAGTCGTCTTCTCAGCGATCAAGTAGTTATCTCTTAATATTTATGTTTTTCTACTGCCAATGACTCTAGGTGGAAGTAATACCAATTGTGTTGATTAAATATTAATTTTAAGAGATTTCCAGCGATAATTTAGATATGTAAAATCTGACACTGTTATTGTCCATTTTTAGGCTTATTTCATAATATAAGGGTTTGGTTTTGTTGTTTTCTTTTTAAAAGCAAGTATTACTGATGCTTGGTCTAACTCTTAAATTGTGCTTCATACCAGAGCTTTTAGAAAAGTAACAGAATATAGTTGACTCTGACATTGTATGGTTTTGTGCATTCAAGCAAATGTGGCCATTAGTAAGCAAGCAACAACATAACTTACAGAACAGAAAGGGAGAAAAGGCCATTCTCTCTTCTACCATTCTCTCTCTGTACAGATTAAACATTTCCTTTGGTCTTGATGAACTGTTAGGTCAGTTTGCCTCACTGTTTTTTGGCCTAAGGAAATCTGTTCTCTGGCCTTTTGAAGTTATGTTCAGAGACTGTGCTTTTGGCTGTTTCTTGCAAAGAGATATGTTTTAACTTCTGCAAAGGCGAGAACTTGGCATGAGATTCTGGTGTGACACGTTCACTGATGATTTACCAGAAAATACACTGCAAACATGAAAGACTGCAGACAGGTTTTATATGTGGTACTCTGCTCAAACTGAGAGGAAGTCTAGTTATTAGTAAATCTCCAGTTTTTTCACTGAGCTGGATGATTTAGTCACATAAACATACGGTGAAGTATGTCTTAAGAGGACTGCCAGAGTCAGTTTTATTTAATGGTTTCTCTTATTCAAATATCACAGGTTAAAAAAAGGTCAGAATACTTTTAGATACTTTAGAAAGTATCTAAAAGATTATACTTTATAACCAGGAATCCATAAGCTCTGAGAAATATTTCTAGTAATTAAAGGTACTGTTTGTTGAACTACTATTGATCTGCTGTGTGTCAGAAACTTTACATATATTCTCATTACTCTTCACAACAGCCCTGCAAGATGTGCTTAAAAAATTTTTTTTAATTACCACCTCACATATTAGGAGACAGGCTCAAATAACTCCCACTTTTAGTAAATGTCAAAGGTAAGATTTGAGCCCAATTCTAACAGTTACCAATATCCACATGCTTTTAAGTGAGATAATATTTGAAAGTGCTTGGCAAAATGTTTAAGTAAGTGGTAGCTATTATTCTATTCAGCTGTGCTTCCTCCCATACTATAAATATATACATAACACACACACACACACACACACACACACACACACACACACAGAGTGAGGGAAAAAAAAAGAAGAAATAGCATTATAACATGCCACCTCCAATAGTAAGCATCCTATCATGCCATCAGACTTTCCTTCACATATGTAATCCACAAGCAGTTAGAAGATATAATAGAGAAGCCACTCTACAGCCGACAAGATGTAATACCTAGGAGTAAATATAAAAATACCTAGGAGTAAATATAAAAATGCCTGTGCACATCTTTTTTGTAGACAACTTTAAAACATTCTAGCAGGACAAAATATAGACTTAAATGGAAAAAAATGTGTGTTCTTGTATAGAATGATTCAAGATTATAAAGACATTAATTCTCCATGAGTTAATTTATAAATTTAACATGAACCTATTAAATAATAACAGTAATTAACAGTTTTTACCCAAATGCTGGACAAGAAGATTCCACACATCAGAAATACATCTCAGTAGGTGCATAGTTGCTTTTGTTCTCCTCACCACCACCAGTTCCCTGATATTTAGATAAATATATAAAAAGTTGGAGTCATTTTTATAGGTTACATTATGGAGAACTTTAATCTCCTAAGAAAGGAGGTGGGAGTGGAGAGGAGTGTTTATAACACTATTGTGCAGTTCTTTGAAACTCCTCAGTTTTGTGACAAAAGTCATATTGTGAACTCATCAACAATTTTTAACAATCTGTCAGCTGACAACTACTAAGTCCTTCAGTTTTGTTACTAGCATAGAATAAGGAACTACCCACTGGCAACAGGATTACTTACCTAGTATTTATTATTTACCTTGTATTACCCAATTACTAAAAATACCAGTAGATGCCAGTATTTCAAGGTGTCTTTGTTTGGTGTTCAGAAGTTTTCTATTATAGCTCTTTACTTTTGCTTACTTTTAAAATCATTATTTTTCCCTTTTTTGCATAGTTGCATTAAAATCCTCCCCTGCTGAAAGAAATGGAGGCCAGGAGAACTGTAGAGCAGCAAATTTCAGAGAAGGCCTGAACTTACAAGAAGGAGAATTCTTATTACAGGTAAATTTTCATAAATATAGTTTCTTACACTAAGGACAGTTGTAAATGGAAAATGAATTAATAAGTGTTTTAATAATTCCCAGTTTATTTGGGATTCACTCAATGTTTTTTGTCAGTTTCATCTGAACTGCAATAGTGAATGATGCTTAATACATGAAAAAATGGAATTATAGTCATGCATCGTATAATGACGTTTCAGTTAACAACAGACCACATATACGACAGTGGTCCCGTAAGATTACACCATATTTTTTACTGTAATTTTTCTAGTTTAGATATGTATAGATACAAAAATGCTTGCCATGTGTTAAAATTGCCTACAGTATTCCGTATAGTAACATGCTGTACAGGTCTGTAACCTTGGAACAATAAGTTACATTGTATAGCGTAAGTGTATAGTAGAGTATACCATCTAGGTTTGTGTAAGTATACTCTATGATGTTCGCCTGATGATGAAAATCACCTAACCACATATGTCGCTGTTAAGTAATACATGACTGTATATGAAGGAGATTAGTTAGAGGACTGGTCCACCCCTTCTGTTGTATTAATATTTCTTCAAACAGAAAGAACTCCTAGAGTATTTTAAAGGTTCTAATTTAAGATGTTGAATTTATATATACTTTTTATGGAATGTATCTCTATTAAAATTGTTAAATGTGGCCGGGCACAGTGGCTCACGCCTATAATCCCAGCACTTTGGGAGGCCAAGGCGGGCAGATCACGAGGTCAGCAGATCAAGACCATCCTGGCTAAGGTGGTGAAACCCCATCTCCACTAAAAACACACACAAAAAAAATTAGCCAGGTGTGGTGGCTGGTGCCTGTAGTCCTAGCTACTTAGGAGGCTGAGGCAGGAGAATGCCATGAACCCTGGAGGCAGAGCTTGCAGTGAGCCGAGATTGTGCCACTGCACTCCAGCCTGGGCGACTCAGCCTGGGCAACAGAGCCAGACTCTGTCTAAAAAAAAAAAATTGTTAAATGCATTTCTCAGTTTAACATACTTCTTAACCCAAATTTCATTTTGTCAATATATTATAACTTACATTTTATTTTAGCAACTGTTTGTGACTTATTCACATACTAAAGATTTTCTCAACGGTAGTCCCTATTTTTATACTTCAGAATTTAGTTTCTAATTTGCCTGTGAAAGCATTTTGAATCTTTTTTTACTCTTTTTTTTTTTTTTTAGAATTGATGCCATGATTGATTCTCACTTAAAATTCTCAGATAATTTTTTTTTTGAAAAAAGATAGAATAAAGATGTGTGCCATGTGTGCTATCACAACTATGTGATCATTTTCAGTTTCACCCACTGAACTGACTAGAAAAACTAACTTCACCATTGTTACAAAAAGTAACCCTAAGTTTTGGTAACTCCACTAGTTCATTTGGTGAATGGTGATGTGCCTAATAATATAGCATTTTTTATTACAATTGCGTAATCACATTCAAATTCCTGTTAGCAAAAATTAACTTATGTTAAACAAAGTAAATCTATTAAAACATGAGTCCTCCCCCAGCCCCAACTGAGGATCTTCATGTATATATAAACCCAAACATAAAGACTCTGTATTCAGGTCATAGGAAAGCATTTTAATAATTGCTGCTTAAGATGATTAAACACACCTCTTGGGTTATCTACTAAGGCCATAATGAAATCCTGTAGTTCAGGTGAAATAGACAAATATGGACTGATCGCCATAACACTTGGCAAGTTGGTTTAAATTATGGACCAATAATTTTTATTTTTTTCCCAAAACGTTTAGACAAATTGTGTACATACCCTATGTCAGGAAAACGGAATAACGATAATAAGAATGCAAAGCTGTAAAGCTATAATTATATGGAATATATATATTTTAAATTATCTGCAAATTGGTAGCCCTTAAGCAGTTAAAATAAACTTACCTGTTTATATTGAATACCATTTGTAGATTGCTCTCTAATCGGAAGACTCACATACTATATGATTTTCTTAGGATTGTGCTTATATGTTATCTTTTTATGAAGAAGATGACTGAAAACATTATAGATATGTGAAAATGGCTGTTTGATTATATACAATTGCATAATGACATCTGACTTTATATTGCAACCTACAGTTACCAGCCAATTACCTGTACAATGTGGAAGATGTTACCAGAGGTTCTGTATACCATATGGCCTAAAACTTTTGAGGAGAATTATTTTCCTCTGCTTAACAAAGGCATATAAGGAAAATGTTACAAAATTTTTTATTAAAATGCTGGGGCAGTGACTCACGCCTGTGATCCCAGCACTTTGGGAGGCTGAGGCAGGTGGATCACGAGGTCAGGAGTTCAAGACCAGTCTGGCCGTCTCTACTAAAAATACAAAAAATTAGCTGGGCGTGGTGGCGGGTGCCTGTAATCCCAGCTACCCAGGAGGCTGAGGCCCGAGAGAATCACTTGAAGCCAGGAGGCAGAAGTTGCAGTGAGCAGAGATCACGCCACTGCACTCCAGCCCGGGTGACAGTGCGAGACTCCATCTCAAAAAAAAAAAAAAAAATTTTATTAAAAATTTAAGACATCTTTCTAGGTTAGCTTCAATTTATTACTATTTTACAAGGAATAAAAATGAAACAATGCTAATAACTGTGTCTTTATTTACTTCACATGTTTATTTCATAAGTTTAAAATAAATTATATCTCTTGCTATTTAATACTGTACTTGTTAAAATCTTGCAGCTTTTTCAGTGACAGCAGTTGAAATTTTATGTAACAGTATTAATTGCAATTTCTCTTAAATAGTAAGTGAGCTCAACATAATTTTCAGATAGGTCGAGTGAATCTTTGTGACTAAGACTAAAAGAATGATGATCTCTTTGATTTAATTAGTATATTAATTCCTTCTGTTAATTTATTAAGACAAATCAATACAAGTAATAACCTTGTTCCTCCTGGTACTTGAGATCATTTGAGATATATAAAAATTGATATGCATCTATTCTTTCTAGATTTTTATTTCTAACAATTAACATTTGTCTAAAGAGATTTGATAACTGTACTTCAATTATCCTTCTGTCTTCCGGCATATACACCAATGAGTTTATTGGAATGTGACTAAATTTGTTTCACTGTTTGAAAACGTATGATGTTCTACAAAATAATATGAATGTGATTAATGGATAATCTTCCTGAGAAGCAGATATTTTCAGAATAAATCAGTGCAATGACAGATATATGGTGTTACTGTCGAGAGAATTTAAGAATATCCAATTTTGAGTGTGTTAATCATTAAATATTGAAGTTCTTATGGGTAGAATCACCATTGTTTATCCTAAGGGAATTGCCGGGTATTACATATAATATTTGTAGTCAAAAACCTGAGAGCCTGCTTGTGGTTAAAGGGACATGGATGGAGTTGGAGGCCATTATCCTTAGCAAGCTAACACAGGAACAGAAAGCCAAATACTGCATGTTCTCACTTATAAGTGAGAGCTAAATGATGAGAACACATGGACACACAGAGGGGAGCAACACACACTGGGGCCATTTAGAGGCTGCAGGGTGGGAGGAGGGAGAGAGGATCAGGAAATATAACTGATGAGTACTAGGCTTAATACCTGGGTGATGAAATAATCTGTACAACAAAACCTTATGACACAAGTTTACCTATGTAAAAAACCTGCACTTGTGCCCCTGACCTTAAAAGTAAAAAAACAGAACAAAACAGTCAGAACCATGCACCAATTTGGGATTGATAACACGTAAAGGCAGCATATCATGTTATTTAAGTGGGTATGCTTTGGAACCAGACTGAGTTTATCTCCTGGATCAGCCATTTTCTGGCTCTGTGACTTTGGGCAAGTTACTTTTAAAGGTATAGTCCTTGACTTCAGTTTCTTCTGTTGTAAAACTGGAACATGGCACTTACCTCATTGGGTTTTTGGGAGAAATAAACCACTCAAATACATAAAAACATTTAGAAAAAGGAATACTAAATAATAGTTGTTATCTTTGTAGTCCAGTTGTCAGATAATACAGATCAAGAATCTTGAAGGTGGAAAGTAATTGGAGTGAAAAGAGAGAGAGCCACTGTATTTCATTTATTTCATCTGATAATGAAGATATTGACTAGACTAGATGTGAGCATCATAAGCACAAGGGCAAAGCCTTGTTAACTCTTAAATCCCAGTACTTAGCATACATATTTCCCCTTGGGCATGTAATAGTTTATTATGTGTTGAACAAATGAATCACTATTATTTATATAGCTCTTTATAGTTCTCAAAGCATCATGATGTAAATATTTATTTGCTTATTTCTACAACCATATAGCATTGTACCTTATTACACTGAGTGCTAGCTCTGTGCTAAGCATTGAGTTAGGTGGGATATTGTCATTATGTCTACCTGATGAAGTGCCAGTTTTTGAAATAACACTGAAGCCTAAAAAGGAGTAAATACCTTAACCAAAGCCACACAGCCCCACAGCTAGTAATAGACGGAGACAGGAGTCCAGACCAAATCTGTCTGACTACACAGTACAATTCTTAAACTAAACCATACTGTATTTCTCCTTACATGAAAAAGAGGGTGTTAGAAGACATTAGCTATGATCACATAGTAAAGAATAGATCAAATACCAAATTGAACTCAAGGAGAAAACAGTGAGGGCTTGTAGAATTAAAATATATGATAATAATAAAGTGATCTATGATACGATTGTTATCCAAGAGGAGAATAAAGGTATTAGTTGATATTGGACTTGAATTATCCAGTAATAGAAAAAGAGACTATAACTTCCAAACTAAAGAGTATGGGCTAATAATAATGGACCCAAAGCAGGCAAAACAGAGAGAAAAAGAAACGTTATACATACAGATGTGCTGTGAACAAATAGAAATAACACATACAAAATGATAAATTTAAGTATATGTTCATAATGACGTTAAATTTTAGTGGACTAAATTCACTGTATGCTTGCTTTGCATGTGTATTATATTTTAATTATATATTATATATATATTGTGTTTTCCTATAAAAGTCTTAAAATGTTCTATGACTTAAAATGTTTGTGTCAGTGCTTGAAATGTCTTTGTACAAGAAGAGTTTTAGTGTTCCCACTTTAAGAATCTAATCAACATCTTTGCCTCCAGTTTCCCCCCAAAGAAAAGCAGTGTGATAGACTATAGTGAATGTCTAAATAGTTTGTTCTTTAAAAAATATGTACAATATATTTAAAAGAGAAAATCTGAAACATGAGGAAGAAGATGAATTCCATATTCTACCAAAGTTATTCTGATTGAGCATTAAATTTAGCTGTTTTTCCGTAGACAAATCAAAAGGTATGAATAGGTATTTCTTAGTCCAGGAGTGTATGTTATGGCTGTGTTTGTGAAATGTAATTATTTTAACCATTTTGAAGAGAAGATTTTTCAGAAATAAAGGTAATAACTTTTATGTGACGGTCAATATTAAGTCATATTACTAATTTTAGAACTTCCTTTCCTTGTAGGCTCTGAATGGCTTTGTATTAGTTGTCACTACAGATGCTTTGGTCTTTTATGCTTCTTCTACTATACAAGATTATCTAGGGTTTCAGCAGGTAAGTATATATTACTTATGTCATTTATATTATTATATCATTTACTTTTCATGTATGTTATACTTTTGGACACAGTTGACCATTTGTATGTATAAAGTATCAATATATGCTGTAGAATACATTATGTATTTGTAGCTAATAATTTTTTCTAATATTAATAATTTACTGCACTATTAATTCCTTTAAATCTTTATGCGATTCATGGTTATTGTGTTTCTTCTTTTGCTTATCAAGAATCTCATATATAAGAAACTTTCAGGCACATGGGGTCTAGGGGATAAGATCAAAATTATTTGGCATCAATGGATAGCAGAGTATATATGACAACTATGAAATGAATGAGGTGCTGTATAAAAAGTACAAGTAAAATCCTATGATTTATACCTTTAATTCTGATTTATGTGGATTATGGAAGATATCCTAAATCAAATGGTATATAAGCTGACCTAAATATTGTGTAGCAGGTGGGTGGACGAGAGAACATAGGAATATAGAAGTACTATAAGCACTAGACTGGAAGTCATTGAAGGAAACTAACGTGACTGGCTTGTTTAATGTTATTGAATGAATGAAGAATAGATGGAATTATAAATACTTGACATATTTGAAGGACAATAACATCTTTTATGGTTTAAGAACCGATTGTAACATTTGAATGCTTGCTATTCTTGTATATCTGGTTCTCAAATTGCAATGTGCACAAGAACTCACCTGAAGACCTTGATAAAACTTGGTCATCTCTGAGACCCATTGCCAGATGTTCTGAATCAATAGTTCACAGTGGGGCTCCTGAATTTGCACTTCTATCAAGCTCACAAGGCTGCTGGTCTTAATAACAGTTATATAGACTAGAGCTTCAACTATATTGTATGTCCAATGGAGACCACTGAAGGCTTTTGTTAAAGGGGATGTGCATTTCAACTTGTGTTTCAGATGCAACTTCTGGAAATTGTGTAATGGCATCAAGATGATTTAATATGAGAAGATTAGGTTCCTAGGAAGATTTAAGTGTAGATGACTAAAATAGTGGAATCTAGCTACTACCACAAAGTCTAAACTTCTGATTTGTTGCATTCTAAAGAAAATATATTAATGTCCATAGAAAAGCCTGTTTGAAGCCAAATGAATTATATAACTGTCTTAATCATGATTTGATACTGTGATTTGTATCAGTAAGAAAATCAAAGAGATCAGCCATTTTCCAATCCATTTTTTTTCTCCCATATACACATGGATTTTTTTCCTAAAACAACATTCATATCTGACACAAGTGGTAGATTAAGACACCGTTTTTAAAACTGCAAGTTGTGACTCGCTCATGGGTATGCAGTCAAGACAGTGGATCACCATCAAACTTTTTTAGTTGTTTAGGATGGAATAAAATAATATAGAATACACAGTATTATCTCATGTAATAATGGTAAGTGTTTTGTGAAACTTTTCCATGTGTATATGTCTATGCATACACCTGTGACAGATAGAAATGTGTTTTTTATCACAACTTGCAGTTAAAAAAAAAGGAAAACTCTGGTTTAAGCACTAAGGGCTCAGCACTATAGTAAATGGTGAGAGGCAAGAGGAGGAAAGTGGGTTTGATATAGTAAAGGCACAATCCCTTGCTCTTGTGGAATCTACTTGGAGTGAAAATTTTATACGAAGAAAATTTTAGAGAACAGTGAAGGAAATACCTAGAGAATACCATTAAGCTTAGAGAAGTCAAAGAGGCCTGGGTGGTTAGGAAAAGCTGCGTGGAAGAGATAAGAATCTAAAAATTAACAAATGGATACGAAACATAAACAGATTTTAGTATGTTGCATTTAAGGAATGGGGAGGTGACTTATTTGAGCAAGAGCATTCACGTCGGGAACTGATGACAAGTAACTTTTGGCTTATCTGTTGTAGTGCCAGTCTGTCTAGCTTTTTCTATCTTAGGTGACTAGGGAACTTTAGGAATCATCCAATTTGTATTCATCACCACTAGCAAGCACCCACTAATCTAAATAGGCTTTAAAATTAATTTAGTAAGCCATATTTTTTTAATCAGTGCTTTTGTTGTATTCCTTGTATCTTTTTTCTTTAGTCTGATGTCATACATCAGAGTGTGTATGAACTTATCCATACCGAAGACCGAGCTGAATTTCAGCGTCAGCTACACTGGGCGTTAAATCCTTCTCAGTGTACAGAGTCTGGACAAGGAATTGATGGTAAGAACTGATGGTACAAAAGATTGTGTTGGTAGTTTTTAAATATGATTCTGTGAAAGGAGGCTGGGAACCTGGAAGGTCATAGAACTCCATGATAGGGAAGTAATGGAAAGATATAAATCTGCAATCATAGGCCACAGTGAGCCTGATGAGCTAAGGAATATTTTGGCAAATGGGAGCCATTAATGAGTTTCAGGCAACAGAGTATTGCCATACTCAGTAATGTATTTTATAAAAATAAGTAGTACCATCATGAAAGATGGAAGGAAGGTACACAAGGTTGATACCTGAGTGCATGTAAATTATTGTGTTTAAAATGCACCAAAGAAAAAAGTAAGCTAGCATATACAAGTATAAAAATGCTTTTCTCAATGCAAAAAATGTTTTTGGAAATAAGTGTTAAAGAAAACAAAAATACGTTAGAAAATGTGAAAATTGTTGACAGTGATAGCTCAATAAAAATTACACAAGTTCTATCTGATAAAAGTGATATTTAATAAACTTTTAGTTTCTTGTCATTAGCTCTTCTGAAAATGATTTTTTTGTGTTCAGAATACAGACTCCAGTTTAGAAACTAATACAAATTTTACCTACGCAGATGCTTAACTTTACAGCAAAATGGAAAGTAAATTTGTTTTGCCTTTTTTCTACAGAAGCCCCTGGTCTCCCCCAGCCAGTAGTCTGTTATAACGCAGACCAGATTCCTCCAGAAAACTCTCCTTTTATGGAGAGGTGCTTCATATGTCGTCTGAGGTGTCTGCTGGATAATTCATCTGGTTTTCTGGTAAGGTACAAAATCTTATGATACTGGCTCTTACTGTGGTTAAAATGAAAGCTTGAGGCAAATTTAATTTAGCAAAATTTAATTCATCAAAGAACTGTTCCCAAATCAGGCAGCCCTTGGAACCAGAGAGGTTCAGAGAGCTCACATAAAAACATGGGCTGGAGCATTTATGAACGGAAAATGCAAGTGAGGTACAGAAATAGCTTGATTGATTACAGCTTGGGGTTTGCCTTATTTGAAGATGATCTGATTAGTTGGTCACCTGTGACTGAGACTCAGCTATTTGGTTACAAAAGTTCACTTCTACTGTTAGGCTTTCCGTTAGTTTATATAGTAAATGGAGTTGCAATTCCTTGGTAAGGACTTAAGGAGCAGAGGCATCTGCAGCCTAAATTTGATTTAACATTAAGTTATAGAAAAAAAAGTCAAGTGAAACCAATTTTCTTTGGTTATCTTTGATTTTAGCTTTAAAAATCTACCAAATAATTTGATAAGGTAGCATTTTAAAATAATTATTTCTGATTTTGACTATCCTCTATAATTCAGAAAACTGTTCTTTAGACTATAATAACAAAGATTGAGTGAAATAACATGAAGCCTTGTGTTTTGACTATTTTAGGATTTTTAAGATAGGAGAGAATTATGTAGCCCTTTTTTAATAGGAGGATTTAATGCCTGCTAGACAGAAAAATAATGGCCTTTCCATATGTCTCAAATAACTGCCACATAGAAAAATGATTGTATATTCGCAATTGTAGAATCATCATCTGATAGGAGACACTGTTTCTTGTTGCAAAGTCTGAACACCTGCATAGGAGTTTGCTGTAGGGAGCAGCCTAGGATTCCTCAGAGTGGACTTCTCTGTCTCTCATTGTATCCTTAGTTTGTGTCACCAAGTACAGGAGAAGAGAATACAGAGTATATTGTATACTTTTTGTGAATAACAAGGAATTTGAAACAGGTAATCAAATCTTAAATTAAGCATTACCAAGCAATGATTTTGGTTTATGTGTTTATTTCTGAAGAGGATTTTGCTGACTCAGAATTAGAATTGTGCTTTGAGGTAGTTTTCTCAGTGTTATTGCTCATGAACAATTAGTATGTAGAGTCAAGTGCTGCATAATGATGCTTTGGTCAGTAACAGACCACGTATATGATGGTAGTCCCATGAGATCATAATGGAGCCAAAAAATCCCTATCACCTAACGATGTCATAGCATTACTCACATGTTGATGGTGATGCTGATGGAAGCAAACCTGTGTTGCCAGTCATATAAAAAGTATAGCACATACAATTATGTATGACACATAATACTTGAAAGTAATAAATCACTATGTATTTATGTATTTACTGTTAATCATTATTTTACTTTATTTTTTTATTTATTATACTTTTAATGATTTTATTTTAATCATTATTTTAGAATAAGGTTAACTGTAAAGCAGGCTCAGGCATGTCCTTCAGGAAATATTCCAAAAGAAGATCACAGGAGATGACAGCTCCATGCATGTTATTGCCCCTGCAGACCTTCCAGTGGGACAAGATGTAGAGGTGGAAGATAGGAACATTAATGATCCTCACACGGTGCAGACCTAAGCTAATGTGTGGGTTTATGTCTTAGGTTTTAACTCAAAAGTGTAAAATGTAAAAAAATTTTTTTTAAAATGGGAGAAAGCTTATAGTATAAGGATGTAAAGAAAGAAAATATTTTTGTGTAGCTGTACACTGTGTTTAAGTGTTATTACAAAAGAGTCAACAGTTAAAAGTGTCAAAGTTTATAAAGTAAAAAAGTTACAGTAAGTTGTGCTGGGATTACAGGCATGAGCCACTGCGCCCGGCCTAAAGGAAAATATTTTTTATAAATTCAGTGTAGCCTCAGTGTATAGTGTTTATAAACTCTAATAGTGTACAGTAACGTCTCAGGCCTTCACATTCACTCACCACTCACTCACTGACTAAACCAGAGTAACTTTCAGTCCTGCCTGCCTTATTTACAATAAGTACTCTTATACAGGTATACCATTTTTTATACTTTATTTTTACTGTGTATTTTCTATGTTTAGATACACAAATACTTACCGTGTTACAATTACTTAAAGTATTCAGTATGATACCATGCTGTACAGGTTTGTAGCCTAGAAACAAAAGGCTATACTGTATAGCTTAGATGTATAGTAAGGTATACTGTCTAGGTTTGTGTACCTACCCTCTGATGTTCACAGGATGACGAAATTGCCTAAGGACACATTTCATAGAACATGCCCCTTTTGTTAAGTGACATGTGACTGTATGTCTGAGGTGGAATACCTGTGTGCAAGAGGGTCTTTTCCTCCTTGCGCTGCTATTATTTTGATGTCAGAACCATCCCTTGGACTGGTTGATACTGTTTTAACCAATTAAATATATCATGTTCATGTTTAAGTTGCCTTTGTTTTCCCTGTCTTCTAAATTTATTCCATATATTTACTCAGTAGAGCTCTGCATTCTTTATATGTTTTCATGATGATTCATTTTAGTGTTTTAATAAAATTATATTTTGTCTCTATAGAAAAGATTACTATGAACTATGCAATACGCTATGAGCTGCAATATAGTTCATGTATGCTTGAAAATGAATGTTTAGGGCTTTATTACCATTCAGGATATATTGATTGCCTGGTGTGCAAGGAGCTGTGCGAGGTGAAAATGATAGGGTAATGGCAAGCTTGGAAAATTATATAGGTATTCATGTTATGACCATTTAGGAACAAGGAGTGGTTCACTTATCCCTTTAGAATATTTCTCATATTACTCTTTGGGATAGTTTTAATGGGTGTCCCATGGAGACAGGAATGAAAGAAACTAACAGTTCTCAGCTTCAGGAATATTTATGGAATTATCAAGAACCCTAGAAGCAGCCATAATGGAGCCTTTTTAAAAGGAACTTTCATATTTTTAATTTTAATGAACTTTTTTTGTTGTTATTATTTTAAGGCAATGAATTTCCAAGGGAGGTTAAAGTATCTTCATGGACAGAAAAAGAAAGGGAAGGATGGATCAATACTTCCACCTCAGTTGGCTTTGTTTGCGATAGCTACTCCACTTCAGCCACCATCCATACTTGAAATCCGGACCAAAAATTTTATCTTTAGAACCAAACACAAACTAGACTTCACACCTATTGGTTGTGATGCCAAGTAAGTGAGACTTTTTCACTTTTATTCTGTCAGATGTACATTATGTTTCAGTAAGTCTCTCTTAGCATGTAAAACATACATTGTGGACTGTATGTAATATTGTTTATTATTAGATTGGCTATTAGCTTTTATTCTTTCAGTGTAGGCTTTTACAGTAAAAATAATTTCATCAGGCTCACAAATCATCTTTTTAATTTTTTGCAAGACTTGTCTCAGATGATGATGTTCTTATATATTAGTAAGGTTTGTTCTTCTGATGACATTTATGTTGGTTTGTTTTACGTTTTTAAATGGCACAAATGTTATTTGATTTCTAGCCCCAGAAGTTTCAGTAACTTTCAGAAAATTGTGAGCAAGAGTCCGATATTAAGCATTTATATCGTATCAAAACATATCAGTGCTTTTCTCCTTTCTAATGTGGGAATGCAGAGAGGTAATTTGAAAAACCTTCTTCCCTAAAAATAGATTATAAAAACGTTCCAGATTTATATTAAAGATTTTCTGTTACCCATACATCTGCTCTATTCAATTCAGTTTTAGCATACTAATTTCCGTGGTTTTATTCAGGAAAAGAAAATAGGCTGAAACTGAAATTTGCAATCATAAGCAAGGAAGAGCGGTTTACATAGATGTGTTTAATTTCATATCTACTTACTGATGTGAAATTCTAAATGTGAACTAAAACATTGCAGAAACTAGCGTAAAACCAATGAATTTATCTTTGTTATTTCATTTATGTTAAATCATAATTCATTCTTATTTTACCTTTTTAAATTTTAAACAGAGGAAGAATTGTTTTAGGATATACTGAAGCAGAACTGTGCACGAGAGGATCAGGGTATCAGTTTATTCATGCTGCTGATATGCTTTATTGTGCTGAGTCCCATATCCGGAGTAAGTTGTAGTTCCTTATGAACATGTCAGAAAAAAACAGCATACACTGTAGTACATGTTTCAAATTCTTATGTAATATAACCTGTTTAAGTAAACTATATAGATAAACTTCTACTTAGTAACTTATCATCATGATTAACCAGGGTTACACTCTTTGTTCATTAACTTGTCTACACCTGCCTCATAGAAATATTGTTGTTTAGTTATTAAAAAATAACCATTTGGCCCATGAAGTTTTGCTTGGGAATTTTTAAATTACATTGTTATCAGTTCATAAATATATGTTAATATTGTAACAATGATGTTAATAACTCTACTTTAAAATTATAAAGTATTAGCCTGTAGGAAAATATTCCCTATTTAAAAATAATTTTTTAATCTTTTTTGTCCCCAATTTATGCTCTCTCTTTACTTTCCTGTGTTACTAGAATTGTCTGGTACATAATCTTCCCTTTAACATTTAAAATAATAAATTTAGTCTGAAGTGGAAAAAAAACTCTGAAAAACCATTTCCATGCCTTTTTTTGTGTGTGTTTAAAATGTATCATCTTTGGGGATAAAGGAAATACATCCAGAACTATGTCACAAGAGCTTTGTTTTAGGAATATTCTTTAATATATTGATTTGGGGTTTGATAATTTAATTTTTTAATTTTATTTTAGTGATTAAGACTGGAGAAAGCGGCTTGATAGTTTTCCGGCTTCTTACAAAAAACAATCGATGGACGTGGGTCCAGTCTAATGCACGCCTGCTTTATAAAAATGGAAGACCAGATTATATCATTGCGACTCAGAGACCACTAACGTAAGCAAAAGAATGTTTCCTGTTTTTGTTAACAGTTTTGTTTTCATAAGTCCTCTTATGTGAAAGCATAAAAATAATTCAAGCAGAATTTAGTCTGTAAATAAAAACTGAAAAGTTTAAGTAATTTGTCTAGAAAGAAGAGCACAGGTGAGAGACATTGAGAAGACAGAATTGACAAATTTTATTGAGCAGCTACATGTGCAGAGCTATAGAAAGAATAGTAAAAGAAAACACTAGGGTTTTATCCTGGGCATATGAAGTACATATGAAAAGCTAGTGTCATTGGTAAAATAAAAGAAAAATATAACAATGCTTTATTTAGAATATGTTCTAAACCCAGCAGTGATTTCAAGAGTTTCTTACATATGTTACAAATGAGTCCTTTATCAAATATTTGTATTGCAAATGTTTCCTCCCACCCTGGAGAATTGATTTTTGTCTGTGGCTTGAGGTAAGGATTGATTCCCCCCAGCCCTTATATGTATACCCAATTGACCAGTCACATTGAAAAGGTGATTTACTGAGAAGGTCATCTTTTCCCCACTGCACTGTATTTTGATCAGGGGATTTTGTCTTTGGTTCTCTGTCTGGATTGTGTTGTTCTATTAATAGTTCCATTGGTGTAGTTGTCTATTTTGTCTAGCATTACACAGTCCTAGTTATTCTATCTTTATTATAAATTTCTATGTCTGAGTGTGTCTTTATTTTGTTTGTTTCGCCTTTTTTGTTGTTCTGCTTGTGAAGATTGCCTTGGTTCTTCTTTGCCCTTTATAATTCCATATACATTTTAGAAAACAGTTGTCTGAAAATCTGTTGAGATTTTGAGTGAGATTACTTTGAGACTGTAGATCATTTGGGGAGAATTAACATCTTTTTATTACTGAATCTTTGAACCCATGAACATGGTGAATGTATGTGTGTATATAAGTACCCATGGAAGTATATGAGTATGTGTGTACAGATGTATATGAGTGCGTGGGTATGTGTGTACCTCTACAAATTTGTCCTTCTCGCTTGATCAATGTTTCTAGAAGGCACCTTTTTTAAATTAGACTTTATTAGTCTTTATTAGAATCCAACTTTTGGTTTATTGATTTTTTTTCTATTTTATACATTTGTTTTCAGTTTTAATTTTGTCTGCTCATTATTATTTTCTTCCTTCTACTTTCTTTGGGTATAATTTACGATTTTATCCAACTTTTAAAAAATATATACTTAAACATATATATCAGTTTCCCTTTAAGTACAACTTTACAACCCTCATCTTTTGCTATCTTATTTTTATTTAATTGAAAATACTGGCTAATTTTCTTTTTATTTTATTTTTATTCACGAATTATTTAGAAATACAGTGTTACTGTACTTTTTGGTGTTTGGGGATTTTTCTACTTGCCTTTTTGTGATTGACTTAGTAACTTAGTTCCACTATAGTCAGAAAACGTTCTCTGAATGAATTTCAGTTTTTTTGAAATTTGTGGTGGCTTATTTTATGATCTAATACACGGTCTACATTGGTAAAATATCCCATGTAATCTTGTGAAGAATACATGTTCTGTCATTTGGGAGTATGTTCTTTTTGTATATCAGAAGTCTAGTTTGTTAATTGTGTTCATATTTCTATACATTTGTTATTTTGTGTGCTTCTGTTACTAAGACATGTTGTTTTCATTTATTTATTACTAATAGGGGGCATCTTTTTACATCTTTCTAGGATATTTTTCTTTTATAAATTACATTTGTGTCATTTACCTGTTTTTCTGTTGTTTGCCTCTCTCTTAGACACTATTGGAGCTCTTTATTATGGATATGAAATTATATATATATATATATGTTAAATTATAAATTATATATGTTACAAATATTTTATTTAAGAATTCTATTGCAAAAATACAAATACTTTAATATTAAATAACTTTCATATTACTAATTATGCCAATCTTTGTCTTTATAGCTTCTGGGTTTTATTAGAGAGGTTTGTTGTTTCAGATTCTTAAGTTTCTAATTCCTAATTTTTTTTATTTTGTTATTATTGTTTTTTTGAGACAGGATCTTACTCTATCACCTAGGCTGGAATGCAGTGGCACAAATGTGGCTCACTGCAGCCTTAACCTCCCGGCTCAGGCAGTCCTCCTGCCTCAGCCTCCCAAGTAGATGAGACTGTAGGCATGTGCCACCACGCCTAGCTAATTTTTATTTTTTTGTAGAGGTGGGGGTCTCGCCATGTTTCCCAGGTTAGTCTCAAAATCCTGGGCTCGAGCAGTCCGCACACATCAGCCTCCCAAAGTGCTGTAATTACAGGCATGCACCACCGGGCCTGGCCCCTAAATTCTCGTAGTCTGTTTTTATGTGTAGAGCTTTATTCCACACAATTTTGTTTTTGTTTTTGTTTTTGCATGGTGTCAGGTAGGGTTGTAATGTGACCATGGAATTAACTAAGTTATTTTTAAAAAATTAAATCATTTAAATATGCTTGTCTGAAAAACAATTTTATAGCACCAGTCATGAGAATAATTGAGGTGAAAATAAAATATGCCCCCTTTTGAATTCAATCATAATGTATTTTGCTTGATGTTTTTCTTTCTTTAATAATTTTTATTTTAAAATGTTTGATAGAATTTTCTCTAAGACTTTTTTGTACACAACTTTAGAGATGAGGAAGGAAGCGAGCATTTACGAAAACGAAATACGAAGTTGCCTTTTATGTTTACCACTGGAGAAGCTTTGTTGTATGAGGCAACCAACCCTTTTCCTGCCATAATGGATCCCTTACCACTAAGGACTAAAAATGGCACTAGCGAAAAAGACTCTGCTACCAAATCAACTCTAAACAAGGATTCTCTCAATCCTAGTTCCCTCCTTGCTGCCGTGATGCAACAAGATGAGTCTATTTATCTCTATCCTGCTTCAAGTACTTCAAGTACTGCACCTTTTGAAAACAATTTCTTTAACGAATCTATGAATGAATGCAGAAATTGGGAAGATAATACTGCACCGATGGGAAATGATACTATCCTGAAACATGAGCAAATTGACCAGCCTCAGGATGTGAACTCATTTGCTGGAGGTCACCTAGGGCTCTTTCAGGATAGTAAAAACAGTGACTTGTACAGCATTATGAAAAACCTAGGCATTGATTTTGAAGACATCAAACACATGCAGAATGAAAAATTTTTCAGAAATGATTTTTCCGGTGAGGTTGACTTCAGAGACATTGACTTAACAGATGAAATCTTGACATACATCCAAGATTCTTTAAGTAAGTCTCCCTTCATACCTTCAGATTATCAACAGCAACAGTCGCTGGCTCTGAACTCAAGCTGTATGGTACAGGAACACCTACAGTTAGAACAGCAACAGCAACAACAGCATCACCAAAAGCAAGCAGTAGTGGAGCCACAGCAACAACTGTGTCAGAAAATGAAGCATATGCAAGTTAATGGCATGTTTGCAAATTGGAGCGCTGACCAATTCGTGCCTTTCAGTTGTCCACGGCAAGACCCACAACAATATAATGTCTTTTCAGACTTACATGGGATCAATCAAGAGTTCCCCTACAAATCTGAAATGGATCCTGTGCCTTATACACAGAACTTTATTTCCTGTAATCAGCCTGTATTACCACAACATTCCAAATGTACAGAGCTGGACTATCCTATGGGGAGTTATGAACCATCCCCATACCCCACTACTTCTAGTTTAGAAGATTTTGTCACTTGTTTACAAGTTCCTGAAAACCAAAAGCATGGATTAAATCCACAGTCAGCCATAGTAACTCCTCAGACTTGTTATGCTGGGGCCATGTCGATGTATCAGTGCCAGCCAGAACCTCAGCACACCCATGTGGGTCAGATGCAGTACAACCCAGTACTGCCAGGCCAGCAGGCATTTTTAAACAAGGTAAGGGTGTTATCAAACTGAATAAATCTTTCAGTGATTCTTTTTACCTTATAGACATGTTACACATTTTTTATGTCAGCTGATCTTAATCTATTTTCCATAACGTTCATGGAGACAGCATTTTTCATTATATCTGTGACTACCTTTTTTTTTTTTTTTTTACAAGCCTGTACTTTTTCTAGTATGTTACTAATATATCATTCACCTGATTCATGAGAGAGAAAGATACGAAGGACTGAAGCAACAGGAATGTGTCCTTAATATAAGATGACCTAAATTACCAGGTGAAATTAGTTTTTAGAAGTATTATGTTTAAAATAGATAATTTGGTTTATTCTTTCTGGATTCTTTAAAAATATGGCAATTTAAAAATTCAAACTTTAAAAAGTATTGCAATTTTTAAGAATAATTTCTTCAAAGCTCTATTTTTTTTATATATGTTTGAAATTGAGTTAAACTCAAATGTAAGTGTACTTTCTTACAATGCCTTTGAAACTCTAGATTAATTATATCCCTGGAATTCAGTCCTAGGCACCTCCATGTTCTCGAGCTATTCCTCCACATTACCTCCCCTATCCTCATTTTATCCTTTAAGGTAGAATGGCTTTCTTTTCTGCCTTTCTTAAAAGAGGTAACTCAGCTGGCTTTCTGTCATGGAAATCAAGCTTGATGGTGTATTTTTGTTGTTTAAATGTGTCATCAGAATCTATCTGGCAGTGAGCACACTTTAAAAATGATCACTGAAAAAAAAAGTTAACATAATGTTAATAGCTGCTGTCTCTGGCCACTCAGGAATATATCATGTTTGCATTTATGCTTTTCCATTAGAATATATTTAGTTTTAAGGATATTTAAGTTTAGCTTTAAACAATATCTTGACTAAAATTAAGCTCCTTGGCCCCTGTTTACTCTGTATTAGAGTATAATAATTAAAAGTATGACCTGAAGCTTTATCTTTAATTGTATTTTCTGGCTTTTTTCATACATTTTGCTTGTGTAATCATTTATGAGCTTTTTAATAGAAAATGATGGTGAAGATTTTTTCTTATTCTCATTCCTTACATCTTTCAATTGTATTAAAATTGAATAATATTCAGTTAATCTATCTCAGAAAATTGCTATGAAAGTATATTTTACTCTTGAGTAAAGCAAATTGTCCAGAAGTTAATTCTGTAAAATTACATTTTGAATAAGGAGTTGCATGAGTAGCACGTAAGTTCTTTGCAGTGTTTTCCCCTCACTACTTTTTATTGTTTCTTTGTGAATAAACAAATAATGCTGTAGACCTACATATACTCCAGAGTAGATGTTATTGAGCTAAGACACTCAATATTGAGCCACTGAGTAGCTGTTGAGCCCTTGAAATGTGGCTAGTCCAAATTGAGATGTGCTGTGTGAAATACACATTGGATTTTTGAAGACTTGGCTTGAAAAAATAATGTAAAATATCTCATCTTTTATTGTTCATTTCATGTTGAAATGATTAGTTTTTCAGCAGCCACATTAAAAAAGTAAAAAGAAACAGGTAAAATTAACTTTAGTAATGTATTTTATTTAATCTACTGTGGCCAAAAATTTAAGTTCTGTATGTGACTCACATTATATTTCTGTTGGATGACACTGTCTGTACAGTATGTTTAAAGAGAGTGGCTGACATGAATTGTGTTATGAGTAATGAGAAAAAATCATTTAAAACTCACCATTATCCGGACAGGTAATACTTTTTATTTAAAGAATTTACAGTATTGCCACTCATTGAAGAGACAGGTTATATGACTTTTACTATAGATTTTATATATGTTTTGGAGGATCTGTGAAGTAATTAACATTTTGATTACTGAAGCCTGTTATGTAGGCTTTACAAAGGTAGATTTTATTTGAAGCAATTAAGGCTATGATTTTAATCTGTTTTAAAGTTTCCAGAACTTCCACTAACTAAAATATAAAGGCTCTATAATCTATAAAACTCTACAGAGCTGTGCATCTTCATGCCATTCCTTTTTATTTTTCTTTTTTCTACTAGCAGTTATAGAAACCAGATTCATTGCAGTGTAAGAAAACAAGAAAGGGCATTTTCTTTTGGTAACTTGATTCTGTAATTAGAACTATGCTTTCAGTAGTATTAATTAAAAGTGTGAATAAGGAATCAGTTATGAAAATCATACCTGTGGTGTAATATTTTAGGAATATTTAGAAACATTTAGAAAATCAGAAGCTACCTTTTTTGGAAAAGTTTTGCATTCCAGTGTAAGATTCCTGAATATAATCAGTTCATTGACACCTATAACTTGAAACCTGGTCAAAGCAAACCTACTTATGACAGAGAATATTTAACTGTAATTCTTGACTGGTGCTCTTTGACCCATCAATTCCTGCCTGACCCAAAGGCAGTCTGAAATGAGACAGCTGTATACTCATCTGTACCATGTTCAAAATTTCCTGTCAGATTAATGGAAAAACAGGTTATAAATGCAACTAATACGTAATATGTCCTCAGTATGTTTTCACTGTGTGAAAGATTTAAATTTAGCAGCAGTAAAGGAACTTAAAGTTTACAACTCTCAGGGGTAAGATTTTAAAAATACATGTTAATATGTCATTTAATGGCTTAAGATACTTGGAAGATCTATTCCAATAAGTTGCATCACCATTTTTGTTTTCGGTTTCAGAATGGAGTTTTAAATGAAACATATCCAGCTGAATTAAATAACATAAATAACACTCAGGTTACCACACATCTTCAGCCACTTCATCATCCGTCAGAAGCCAGACCTTTTCCTGATTTGACATCCGGTGGATTCCTGTAATTCCAAGCCCAATTTTGACCCTGGTTTTTGGATTAAATTAGTTTGTGAAGGATTATGGAATAATAAAACTGTCACTGTTGGACGTCAGCAAGTTCACATGGAGGCATTGATGCATGCTATTCACAATTATTCCAAACCAAATTTTAATTTTTGCTTTTAGAAAAGGAAGTTTAAAAATGGTATCAAAATAGTACCTATAATATAGTCATTAAGGTAGAAAGTGTACTGCCACAGAGTAGTGAGATACCATCTACATTTCACATTATTCTGAGCACCACAAAATATGCAAAACTTTATCAGGGAAACTAAGACTCTTTTAAATTAGAAAGCATTCTTTATTTGAATTATTTCTGTCAGAATAAAAATAAAATACTTTGAGTTTTGAACTACTGGATTCTTATTAGTTTCCCAAATACAAAGTTACAGAACTAAACTAGTTTTTCCTATCATGTTAACCTCTGCTTTTATCTCGGATGTTAAAATAAATGGTTTGGTGCTTTTTATAAAAGGATGATCTCAGTGCTCTCCTCCTCCACTGTTCATCTAAGTGCCTCACATTTTTTTCTACCTATAACACTGTAGGATGTATATTTTATATAAAGTATTCTTTTTCTTTTTTAAATTAATATCTTTCTGCACACAAATATTATTTGTATTTCCTAAATCCAACCATTTTCATTAATTCAGGCATGTTTTAACTCTTCTACTCACCTGTTTTCTTTAGGTAAAGGGCAAATAATGATTGAAAAAATAATTATTTATTACATAATTTAGTTGTTTCTAGACTATAAATGTTGCTACGTGCCTTATGTTGAAAAAATTTAAAAGTAAAATGTCTTTCCAAATTATTCTTAATTATTATAAAAATATTAAGACAATCGCACTTAAGTTTCTCAACAGTGTTTTCAGAAGAAGTATACCACTCTTTACCTTTATTGAAGACTCCATGATAGTTGAATGTTGCAATGTGAAAAATCTGCTGTTAACTGCAACCATGTTTATTAAATTGCAAGAAGCTTTATTTCTAACTTTTTAATTATATTAAGCAAAACACCCGTTTCAATGTGTATAAATTGTCTTTAAAAATTGTTTTAGATCTATAAACCTTGATAATCTATTGTGTTGACTTTATAAATTTCGCTTCTTAGAACAGTGGAAACTATTTGTTTTTCTCATATTTGAGGAGTGTTAAGATTGCAGATAGCAATGTTTGGTGCAAAGTATTGTAATGAGTGAATTGAATGGTGCATTGTATAGATATAATGAACAAAATTATTTGTAAGATATTTGCAGTTTTTCATTTTAAAAAGTCCATACCTTATATATGCACTTAAATAATTTGTTGGGGCTTTTCATACTTTATCAGTGTGTCTTTGTAAGAAATAAAGTAATGAATCCAACTGCTTAAAGTTGGTATTAAGAAAAAGACAACCACACAGTTCATTTACCTTCAAACATTAGGTTGTTTTTAATGATATACTGATCTTCTTTACCAATAGGCAAATTAATCACTCTACCAACTTTACTGTCCTGAAATGGCTTAAAAAAAAAAATGACACCATCTTTTCTTCTTTTCTTCTTCTTTTTTTTTTTTTTTTTTTGAGACAGAGTCTCACTCTGCCGCCCAGACTGGAGTGCGGTGGCACAATCTTGGCTCACTGCAACCTCTACCTCCTGGGTTCAAGCGATTCTCCTGCCTTAGCCTCCCAAGTTGCTGGGATTACAGGTATATGCCACCATGCCCAGCTAATTTTTGTATTTTTAGTAGAAACGGTTTCACCATGTTGGCCAGGCTGGTCTCAAACTCCTGACCTCAGGTGAGCCTCCCACCTTGGCCTCCCAAAGTGTTGGGATTACTGGCGTCAGCCACCACACTCAGCTATTCTTTCCTGTAGCTATGAGAGCTGAAGAACTTAGACACATTTTACATGTATTATTTTAAAATCTGATGGAATCCCAAACTGAGATGTATTAAAATACAATTTTCGGCCAGGTGCAGTGGCTCACGCCTGTAATCCCAGCACTTTGGGAGGAGGGCGAAGAGGGTGGATCACAAGGTCAAGAGATCGAGACCATCCTGACCAACATGGTGAAACCCTGTCTCTACTAAAAATACAAAAATTAGCTGAGCATGGTGGCATGAGCCTGTAGTCGTAGCTACTCGGGAGCCTGAGGCAAGAAAATAGCCTGAACCCGGGAGACAGAGGTTGTAGAGCTGAGATCACACCACTGCACTCCAGCCTGGCAATAGACCGAGACTCCATCTCAAAAAAAATAAATAAATAAAAATAAAAAAAAAATACAGTTCTTACTTCTTTTACTTTTTTTAGTAAATTAATGTATATAAAAGTGTCTTCGTACAAAATATCTCTCAGTTCTGTGTATTTTCAGTCAAAACTTTGAACCTGTAGAATCAATTTAAGTTTTGAAAATTTGTCTGAAACATTTCATAATTTGTTTCCAGCATGAGGTATCCTTTTAAGGATTTAGACCAGTGGTCTAGATTAATACTCTATTTTTACATTTAAACCTTTTATTATAAGTCTTATATAGACCATTTTTGTTACTCTCTTCCACATGTTACTGGATAAACTGTTTAGTGGAAAAATAGGCTTTTTAATCGTGAATATGATGACAATCAGTTATACAGTTATACAATTACAAGTTTTAAAAGCAATATTGTATATTTTTATCTATATAAAATAACTAAAATGTATCTAAGAATAATAAAATCACATTAAACCAAATACCCATTTGTCTGTATTTTTTTTTTTTTTTTTTTTGAGACGGAGTCTCGCTCTGTAGCCCAGGCTGGAGTGCAGTGGCCGGATCTCAGCTCACTGCAAGCTCCGCCTCCCGGGTTCACGCCATTCTCCGGCCTCAGCCTCCCGAGTAGCTGGGACTACAGGCGCTGCCACCTCGCCCGGCTATTTTTTGTATTTCTTAGTAGAGACGGGGTTTCACCGTGTTAGCCAGGATGGTCTCGATCTCCTGACCTCGTGATCCGCCCATCTCGGCCTCCCAAAGTGCTGGGATTACAGGCTTGAGCCACCGCGCCCGGCCCATTTGTCTGTATTAAGTGCCAAACAAAGGATGCTTAGTGCACCGCTACATTGAGAGATTTATTTCTAGATGATGTGCACATTTAAGGATATGGATGTGTCTCATTTAGTCTTTTCCTATACCAGGTTTTTCTTATAATACCTGAAGACTTACCAGTATTCTAGTGTATTATGAAGATTTCAATCATTACTATGCACAAACCAGTGTTTTTCAATGTTACTAAATTTTAAGTAAATGCTTTCATGGCTCTTTTCTTCAAAGTGTTACTGCTTACGTATATCATGCATAGATTTTTGCTTAAAGTATGATTTATAATGTCCTTATTATCAAAGTTGTATACAATAAATAATAAAATAACAAATATGGATAACATGTTTTAATGTAAATTCTTCTCTCTGGTCCACGTAAAGGAAATTATCATTTATACTATAGTATTATAACTATGTTAGATGAGGGCAATCTACAATGCTTAGTGATATGTTAAGTCAATAATTCGTAAACTTCTTAGACAATTTTGCTCCCAGTGTTTGACCTTTATCTGGGTATAAAAAACACTCTCAGTAGCTTCATAAATTAAAATGCTTCTGAAATGAACTTTTTTTAAGTCCTGTGTTATCAGTGTAGTAGTGTATTTTAGATTAAAATCCAAAATCCCATTTTAATAATATTTTATGAATATTTCTGAAGAAATTTGAAATAACCCTTGTTAGCTGTATTTTTTGCTTAGTTTAGAAAAACCATCGCCCAAACTTAGTATTTCTGTTTAATAAGTATAAATGATATGGAAGCCTTTGGCCTTAAATTCATGACTGTTGAACATTCATGAAAAATTCTGCAATTAGAATTGATTGAAGAAAAATTTCTGAGAAGTTTTCATTCTCGTGACAGTTATTTTTCTATTAGATTTATATCTCTTCTTTACAATTTGGTATTTTTCTCCACTAGCATATCATAAGTTAGCATCATACTTAATTCTGAACATTTTAGACTAACCCTGAGTCTTTAAGAATTACCTAAAATATTTAGTTTTAACTCTTTGATCTGAAAAAATTCCAGTAAAAATCCAGATAACCTGAGTGCATCTCTGCTTGCACTTAGGTGATTTCTGTCACCATGAATGACTCTAGATTGTCCAATTTCACCAGCTCTACCAAACACCGACCCAGGGATGTTGGCCACTGACAGGACTGGATGACATCTGTCTAATTTCTTTCACTGTCTGCAGATGACCTTGCTTCCGTTTTTACTAATAAAATTAAGGGTATCATCCTAAGTTTGTCTGTACCTTCACCTCAGCAATTCCTCTATCCTTGGTCTCACCTCAGCAATTCCTCTATCCTTGGTCTCACCTCAGCAATTCCTCTATCCTTGGACTTACCTACAGTATGTGAGGAGGAGAGGTTCCTGAACTCCAGGGTTAGCCCCTGTCCTTTCTCATTCTCATGCACACAGCTTTGACAACTCCCTTCTCAGAGGCTCTCCTTTTCTGTAGGATTCTCTGTGAATAAATCCTCCTCCATCCTGGAAAAAAAATTACTTGAACCTGCACTTCCTTCTCTATTAAATTACTTCTTTACCTTCTTCCTTTGTAACAGTTTTGATCTCCTGAAATCTGGTTTTGTTTTCCATCCTTCCATTATACGGCAGTGTTGGTTCACCAAACTTCTTACCATAGGCTCATTTCCTATGGCCCTGCAACCAAATTGATTACACTTTCAATGAACTTTTTTCTTCTCTTCCATGACATTAGTTGCCCTATAAGCTCCTATTATCCCTTCTCTTTCCTTTGTTAACCACTCATTCCTCCTCCCACCTGGCAGTAGGCTTAGTTTTGACCATTTGTCGCTCTTTCTGTATGTACTATCTAAGAAGAAGTGATTCAATGCCTTACCTCTGATTGACAGTTGTGGAGCAATTCTTTCCCTTAGAGAGCAGCATAGCATAGCTAAGCTAAACACATAGACGCTGGAGTCAGACTACTAGGTATAGATCCTGGCTTTGCCATAAATAAGATATGTCACTGGGAAGGTTTCTTACTTTCTCTGAACCTAAGATTCCTTTTCTGTGAAATAAGACTAACAGTACCTGTCTCACTGGATTGCTGGAGGATTCAGTGATTTATATAACATACTTAGCTGCCAGTAGCCAAAACTGGAATAATGTGAGCAACTAAATAAGTGATGATAGCATTAGACTATAGCACAAAGAATATCCATGAATCCATACTGATATAAATAAAATGGTTGAAAAATAAATGGGGAAGAAGGAGCACATCTTTCCTATAGAAGAATCCCAAATAATATTGGTAGCTACTATGCTCTCTGATGCGTGATCTTAGTTCTCCTCCCCTGGAAATATGAGCTAGACTTAATGACTTGCTTTTAAGGAATAGAGTACAGAAAGAGAAGAAAATAACTTTACATTGTTGAAATCTGGCAAGCACTACTTTAACCAAGTGATCAAGGTTAACATCACCAATGAAAAGTCATGTTGATATAACATGATTTACCTGATAGGATGCTTTGAGAAGTGTAGGTCTCAAAGCTTCCTGATATTCTTAAAAACATATAGCCTCGGTCTAATTACGAGAAAACATCAAACCCAGATAAAGGGACATGCCACAAAATTTCTGAGAGGATTTTTTAAAGTGTCACTCACAGAAAGAGACTGAATAATTGTCACAGAGCAGAGGAGGCTAAGGAGGCATGATGACTGAATTTAATGTGATATCTTGGATGGCGTCCTTCATAGAAAAAGGGCATTACCGAGAATCTGCAGAACTCTTTATAATAGTACCGCATCATGGTTAATTTTTTAGTTTTGACCAATGTACCATGGTTAGATAAGACATTAGAGGTACCTAGCTAAAGAGAATAAAGACACTTTATAACCTTTTGACTTTTCTGTAAATCTAAAATTATTCCACAATAGATTTTTTAATTGCTTTTGTATAAAAATAGTTTTTTATTGCCACATAACAAGTATCTTTATGTCTCTTATTACTATTTTCCTATATCTTCACAACCTCTTAGTTGGAGGTAAAACTATACATTGACATCAGTCCTCATTACTGATTTGATGAATATCTTTTTATTTTTTAATTTAAGTTCTGGGGTACATGTGCAGAACGTGCAGGTTTGTTACATAGGTATACACGTGCTATGGTGGTGTGCTGCACCCATCGACCTGTGATCTACATTAGATATTTCTCCTAATGGTATCCCTCCCCTAGCCCCACACTGGTGTGTGATGTTCCCCTCCCTGTGTCCATGTGCTCTCGTTGTTCAACTCCCACTTATGAGTGAGAACATGCGGTGTTTGGTTTTCTGTTCTTGTGTTAGTTTGCTGAGAATGATGGTTTCCATCCAGCTTCATCCATGTCCCTGCAAAGAACATGAACTCATCCTTTTTTATGGCTGCATAGTATTCCATGCTGCCAGTTTTCCCAACACCATTTAGTAAATAGGGAATCCTTTCCCCATTGCTTATTTGTGTTAGGTTTGTCAAAGATCGGATGGTTGTAGATGTGTGGTGTTAC